CGGGTCTGTAGAGACGGACAAAATTAAGTCTCAAAAAGGACATGTGCTTTTTTGTATTCGTCATGCATTCCTGGTATATGTAAGTTTTAATAATTGGATGGACGATGTGAGCTTTATTTGAATTTCTTTAACTAGACCTTGTCCTGGGGCCATCCAAAACTAATTAAGACCACTTAACACAAAAATGCCTCGGAGGAAAACTATCTAAAAACTTCTGAGATGCTTCTTAGCCTTCACTGCGTACAGGTCACCTCCACTAAATTTTTTAAAACAGGCCAAACTTGGCCAGTAAGTCATAACTCGTGACTGACATGACTAACCATAACAGACACAAACGAACAAACTAAACCACCAATCATGTTTTCCCCAGCTTATCCCCATTACAGGGGGGAGCAAATGAACGCAATAAACAAATTTTTGGCACGTAAGGTGGACACATGCCACCGTATCACGTGCAATAAGCTGCATTTGTCATAATGGAGGATTTGGGTTGCCCACAGCTGGTACAATTGACCAGGCGATCATACCTCTCGCTGAAAATAATGCATTTTTCATCCATTAGTTGTTGGGTTGTTGACGTCCTTAGAAATGCTTCATAACGCTTGTTTTTCATGCGGCGTTGTCAACACCACACGCCAAACAGCAGGCCGGTCACACAATCACAGACCCAGACCCAGGCCCAGACCCAAACCCAGACCCTGACTCAGGCCCAGACCCGGACCCAGATCCAGTCCCAAACACAGACACAGACACAGACACAGACACAGACACAGACACAGACACAGACACAGACACAGACACAGACACAGACACAGACACAGACAAAGACACACAGACACAGACGCAGACACGGAGGCAAACGGCCATAACACAAATATACACAAAATGCACAGAGCAAGAAGGCTTCACAGAACGAAAAAAGTTTTAATATCCTGCAATGTCAGGTCATCGGGTTATAATCAAGCCTCCAAAAATATGCGCGGTGAAAATATGAAAGTTGACGGTTCGCGGCGTTTTCCTGGCGCCAAATGCACCGTGCTCCGTGGTGTAGTTGTTCTAAAGGGGTGGTGTGGCTATATATGGCTCCAAACGGCGATTCTTTCTGCAGATATCATGCTCTTAAAGTTACGTCATACCACGTTGCACGAAGTAAGACACGGTGGCATAATGACATACCAAAAGTGCTTGATATTTATATGCAATGTCGTAAGGCTTATGTGCAATGTTACGTTCGATTATATCTTCAGAATGACGCGAAGCAAGGTCAGTAGATATTTCACGGCGGACATTGATTGCTTGCATTGTTTACGCAGCCGCATTGCTCGCGCAGATTTTAAATGAAACGTCCTCCGAGGTCCAGAACGTGGAAAATCATCGAATGACCTCGAATGCACTCACGTTTTAATAAAAGGTCTATCAAACATGCATCATATCAAAGCTGTAGATAACAGACATATGAAAAGGTCCAGAATGAGGTCCTTCCAGTTATCCAGGAAAGGGTCTCGGTAACCTAAAACGGGGTTTCCGGAAGACAGCTTCTTGGTGCAAAGAGAGGCTCCTTATACAGCACAAGGATACTTAGCTTCACGGAAAGGGACTCCTAATATAGTCAAGTTATCCCAAAGCAGGGTATTCTGATCAAAAACCGTGACCATCTGATGCATGAAAAGGCCTCCTGTTCCAGAAATGAGGCCACCTGACAAGAGAGCTTGTCTCCTAACCCACAACAGGGTCTCCTAGTTTGTAACAGGGTCTTCCCGAACCAGTAAAGGGATCTCCTCAACCCATCATTGGGCCCCCTGATCTAACGCTTGGGCCGTTTTATTCGTGAAGAGATCTCATGATTCAGAAAACGGAGCTTTTGATGAAGATAATGTTTTTCTAAGCCCGATGTTTTACTCTTTAGCTTTGTTATGGGGTCTCCTTCATCTGAGCTTTGGTCTACGGGTAGCAATAGCGCTTTTAATTTGGGAAAAGGGACCTTCCAATATTCTGCAGGGGGAGGGGAAAAAGTACTCTTGACCCCTGCCTGCCGGCAAAGGGACAGGGGTAACTGCCTCCTCTACCCTCCTCCGTTTTCGTGCTACGCCGTCCCTGGTTGGATGTTTGATGTGACAAAAAAACAGCTTTTGTTTGCAGGCGTTTGGAAGTTCAGTAGAGACGAAAAGCGTAGCCTAGCTCATGTAGGCCAAGCAGACAGGCTCCATCGGCGGTTTCCAACGATTGCGAGTGAACAGACGAACTTTCTATAGGGCTTTGAATGCAGCATAAAGGAGAGCCTGATGCTCAGTTTCGTGGGTATTTGCCAATGCTGAATGCCCCGTGATATCAAGGAGTATCCATTCTTCTTCCAAGTCTTTCCTGACCCGTCTTTGTTTTACTTGTCTTTCTCTGCATGGCCGTTTTTGCAGTGGTCACGGATTGTTCCCAGTATATACACGCGTCTGTCGTACACACCTATACCATTCTCAAATATAGTTGCTTGTGGTCAGAGTTTCTGGTTATCTCGCCACAGTTTAACCTTCTCAAAAGATGTCATTACTTGCCGCCATGAGAAGAGTCATCTATCTGTGCCACCTCAACCATCACAAGGACATTCTGTTAGTTACATTTGTCTTGATTGCCCGGTCCATAGATTTGGTTAGCCATCTGAGGATTTTCTGAGTCCCGAGACCGGGGAAATGCTGCAAAGCTGGACCACCCTTCAGACCGTGCGTACGGAACGTCACACTGTGGGTTTGTTTCAGGTCCGTCGAGCTTCCTGTGTCTTCCAGAGGGGGTCGTCACTGCTTTTGTTTGACATGAAAAGGGATGAAGCGACATCATGATCGGTAAGCTGTCCTTTCGCACTGCAAGTTGGAGAATTCAAGAGAGGCTGCGGTGGGGCTAGGGACTTTGTGGCCCTTGTCTCACTTCATTCGAGGAGAATGGTTCAAGGAGATGCATGCTCAAACTGTACTATGCTTGTCTCTGGCAGCCAATTCCAGGAGTGCAGTTCCTTTGAAAATTACACAAACAAGAGCAAGAAGCTTGAGCAGTTCAGAAGCGTGGTCCTAACTTCCTCGAACACCTCTTGGCAACGTTTGCCAGGCCGTAAACAACTCACGTCATCATTTGAATCACTTGCGGCAATAGGTGAGGCCATTTCACTGTAACGGACCGGATGGAGTCTACTACCCGAAGGAATGAAAGTTTACAGGCTGCTCCCCCACGTCGTGAACGCCCGGGGACTTTACGGGACAGCCTCGACTGACCTGCCTCTTCCTGCCTCTTCCGAGGAGGTCCGGTCGCCTTTCATGCCGCTTTTATTTGCATTCTTCTCATAGCCACAGAGCTGTAAAAGGCTACTCAGATCCTACCGTGTGCCTACCACAAGGTATGTGCAATTTCCTCGCTTTATTGCCACGAGATAGTTCGTAAAATTTTATGGTATTGCCCTCGTTGTATTTAGCTGTTACGGCCAAGTGTGAACATGATGGTACTTCCAGGTCAGTTTATGAAAGTTTGATTACCTCCTCAAACACCCATAACTTTCCGTGTTTACATAAAAGAGTTACACACTTGGTTAAAGCAGTCGATCACCACTTGAACACCGCGAAACGCGCGTACTGCGGCAGCAACCGTACTCGAGGGCGGTTTTGTTTGCCGGCCGCTAGGTGGCTGCGGTGAAGTTAATAAAACTGTAAACAGATGGCGCGGCGAGTACCACTGGCGGCCGGGCGGCGGGGACCGGGCGGGCGGGCCGACGGCCGCGGGACCAGCAGACGCTCTCCTCCAAGCTGCTACAGCGTCGACCCAGTCGGCATCGTTTTCCGTCGTTGGCCGCCGAAGTGCCCGGGAAGAGATCGTCAGCGTTCGGCAGTTTATCGCGGTTTATGTAACCAATTAGAGAGGAAACGATTATCGTAATGCCCCATAAAAGAAGGCATAAAAGAGAACTATACGAGCTGCCTACTGCCATGTGGAAAAAATGAAGCCCGGTGACTTTTCGCTTGCCATTTGGAACCAATGGAAATCACACAATGCGTGCTCACATATCGTGTTGCATCATGTTGCAATGCATATCACGCTCTTCCAGCACGCTGGAAACCAATCACACGGCATGTTTTTGCACCGATCCATGAGCCTGCTCCGGACAAGCCACGTGTGCAGGGCGTGATTCCTGACTCTCCGCTGGGAGCGGGGTTACCGTGAGGCGCCACCCGTCGCCCACCTGACGCCCCAGTTCGTCAGCTGTCGGACTGGCTGCCGCCCGTCCAATGTCGGGCAATGTTGCCCCGTAGTAAAACATACAGATCGAAAATAGACGCGCGCCTGATTATTTGATTTAACGTTGCAGACCCGCAACTAACGATCAACAAGACATTAAGTCGACTAATCAACAATGAAGGGTTACAGAAACATTTACGCTGGTCGTCGCCGGGCGCGGCGCGATCAAACAACACCTGTCTCAGACTGGGCCCCGACGCCGCGGCTGGCCTGGCTCTGACCGGGGAGCCGCCTCCGTCAGCGCCGGCTGCCGTCACCGGCCGGGCCGCCCGGCCCGTCGCTCTGCCCGGCCAGGTTCGCCGCTCGGCGCGCTGAGGGGACCGCGAGGGTCGGAACAGCTCGCCGGGGCCGGGCTCGAGGGGTGAGCCTGAACGGCCGGAGGCTGGCCGAGCGTGGCGGAGCCGTCGCACGGTCGCCGTCCGCGTCTTCCGTGCCGGGCGGCCACTTGCCGGCTCCGCCGGATTGGGTCGTGACGTCACCGCCAATTAGGTTTGTCGGCGGCGCCGCCAGGGGCGCGCCGGTCGGCAGGGCCGCGCGGGCCGCGGCCGGCCGGCTTACTCGGGCGCGATCCGACCAGTCGGGCAGTTGCGCGTCGGTGTCGGCGTGGCGCGCGAGGCGACAGCTCGGTGGCAGCCTGGCAGCAGCGCTCGGACAGCTGGGCGGCGCGCCCGTCGCGCTCGGGCCGGCCCGCCTCCCGCCCGCGCCGCCTCACCAGCATGCCCTGTTGGCAGTGACGGCGGCGGATGGCCCTAGCTCCCGTGACCCCATGAACGGCGCGCTCTACGAGGAGGCGGGCGGCGCCGTGATCGGCCGCGCCGCGCCGCTGGAGGTGACGCCGCCGGTGCCGGCCTCGGCGCCGGCGCCGCTGCACATCCCCGCCAAGCGGCCGGCCACCACGCTGACGGCCGGCTTCGGCGCCGCCGACCCGGCCGACGGTGTCATCCGGCACGGCGCGGCGCAGCCCTGGGGCTACGCCGAGGCGCCGCACCCGGCCGGCAGCGCCGCCTTCGACGCCGGCTACCAGCCGGCCTTCGGGCGCGACGCCATGACCTCGATGGCGTCCAGCTACTACAACCTGGCCGACACGCGCCACGACCGCAAGCCGCTGGCGTTCTGGCCAACAAGTACGACTACGCCGCCGGTCCCGTCCACCATGGCCAGCGCCGAGACGTGCCAGCCGTTCGCCGCGCAGACCTGGTGCAACTACTCGGCGTACGGCCGCGTGCCGGGCCCGATGGAGGGCCACGGCCAGCACATGCCCTACCTGCACGCGGCCGAGGACTCGCGCCGCGCCATGGAGGTCTCGTACCCGCACGACGCGTACGGCCTGCGCACGTACCCGGGCGCCGAGGGCATCCCGCCGGCTCCGTACCACCCAGGTGAGAGCAGACCCTGGCCGCCGCCCCCGTGCCTGCCGCCCGCCCCCGTGCCGCACCGTCTGTGGGTCACGGCCGTCCCGCCGCGCGGCTGGTGATGGGGTAGGGCCCCGGCGCGGCCGTCCAGCGCGGCCCGTCCGGCTCCGGCCCTGCGCTGGGGCCGTGCTGTGTGCGCATGTGCATGCTGTGGCGGTCTGCGGTCTGGCTTCGACGGAAAGCGATCGGATTCGAATTCGATGAATTCCTCCGCGGTCGCTTTCTGTCCGTTTATGCTTACGTCAATCATTTGGGGGCGTTTATGAGCTGCCATAAAGCCTATTTACGGCCCCCTCAATGGGAGCAAGTGGTCTTTGGCGGGCTGTAGGCTTACGGTAGGGTTTGCTGAAAGTGAGACATCACAGATTTGTAGCTTACTAGCTGGCCACTTGTCCCTCATTTCCTGGGCTGCAGCGGACGCGAAATCGATAGGGGCCAAGTCGAGCGGGCCATTTCACAGGTGGATGGCTTAATCCGGCGCTCAGGGCCGGCCGGCCGGCCCAGTAGGCGGGCCTGACTAATTCGCGTGAAGGAGCGTCGTGGGCTCCGTCCTCATTGATTTGCCACCGCCGCGTGAGGCGGGCGGGGCCGTGCTATGGCGCGTCACGCGGCGACGGACGTCGCAGGGGGCAGCTGGCGCCGCGGCGGACAAGTGCAGCGGGAGCGGCCCCAGCTGATGTCGAGCCGCAGCCCCCAGCCCATTCATTCCCCCTCCCTCCATATTCCCATTCAGATTGCCCAGCGAGCGGCTGGCCGTCCGAGCCCCCGTCGGGACATCCGGGCTGTTTTACCGCCTCCGCTCTGAGAGCTGACAGGGCTCGGTGCCGCCTGCTGTTCGTACTGCCGGCACCGATGTCCTCCTGAGACCTGCCCAGCAGTGCTGCCTCCTCCTGGCTGGCGTCCTCCTGAGAACTCCTCGCCGCGCTGCCTCCTCCTCACCGCTGGAAGGCGTCCTCCTGAGAGTGTCCGTGCCGCGTCCGCCTTCTGCCAGCCGGCGGAGCGAGGGCCACCGTCCTCGGGAGACCTCCTCGCCGCACCGTCTTCTCCTCGCTGCTAGAAGGCGTCCTCCTGACAGCGTCCGTGCCGCGTCCGCCTCTCTGCCAGCCGGCAGGAGCGGGGGCCACCGTCCTCGGGAGACCTCCGCGGCCAGCGCGCCCCCGCCTCGGCGCGGCCCGGCGCCTCCAGCCCGCGGGCTAGCGGCGCTCTCCCCGCCGTACGGCGGCCCACGGCTGAGTTATGGTCGCCACGATGGCAGTTCGGTGCGCGCTGTGGGGTGACGGCTGACGGCGCGACCGTCACGCGCAGCGGACAGCGCCGGGCCCCGGGCGTCACCGCGCGGCCCGGGCGGCGCCGGCTGCGTCAGGAGCCGCACCGGGCGGTCAGGAGCCGCACCGGGCGGTCAGGAGCCGCACCGGGCGGTCAGGAGCGGACGCGGCCAGGTCGGGAGTCGACCTAGCGGCCAGGGTGGGGTGCGGAGCGGGCGAGAGCGGGGCTCGACGGTCGGGAGGTGAGGCGAGAGGACGGGACTGAGTTCAGCGGGAAGGGGACGATGAAGGATGACCGGGGACTGCTGCGCGGCGACCGGCGTCCGGTCAGTGACCCGCCTGGGGCTTCAGAAACTGTGAAGAAGTGACCAGGAAATACCACGAGTTAGCATGCAACTTCATGCAGCATTTCGACTCATTTTGGATCAGGCATTTCCGTACATTTCGAACCACGATAACGAATGTTTGAGTAGGTAGGTGAAACTTGAACCGGTAAGTAAGCAGCTGAGCTGATATTATCCAAATGGTGCTTATATTTGATTTGTTACATATAGGTTCGCAAAATCAGGCGACAAACTAATGATGCTTTACGTACCAAATGACAGCTTTTAACGCCAACACGCCTGCGTTTGGCTCGCGTCCAGCCAAATGAACTAGGCGTCCGTCTATGTACTCTGGATAGGTCACTTTTGACTCGGCTTCAACGTACTGCCGAGAAATGGGCCATAAACCAGTTATTGCAAGCCATCTCCATTACACAAAACGAAATGCTCGTTAAGATTAGCGTAAAAGATTTACCAGTTCTGCAATCCGGAAGCCTATGGTGAGGCCCCCCATCGGGCTGGCACCATATAACGATTAAAAACGCCTGTAAATGAGGCGTAACTCCTGGCTAGGCCACGCGACCCTAGTACCTTTAAACCTGTGGAATAGTCGAATTTTATTGCCCCTGTTATACGCCATAAACGAGGCTATACTGTCAACAGGGTGCTCTTTACATAATTATTACACCATTGCTCGCAAGCGCTTACGATGATTTTATTTGCTAGAGGAACTGCCGACTGGAAGTACTGTGGGTTTTTGACGGACGGAGAGCTTATGGAAATATGTCACGCTCTCTGTACACATGGAGCGCACTGTTCTGTGGGGCTGGGTAACGGCGCGGCTGGCAGCTTTCACCTGCGCCGCGCCGCCGCCGCCACGCCGGCGGGATAGAGCCGGCCGGTAACCGTACCGCCGCTAATGTCTTAATTATTCCCGGCAATAGATGGCGTATGCTGTCCGTGCGCGATTTATGCGCGGCGGCGGGCGCGGCGCCGGCGCCGGCTGGCGGCGGGACGGCTGTAACGCGATCCGGCGCGATGGGCCGGCCGCACGCGACGCCCGGGGCGCCGCGCCGCGCGGACGCCGTCAAGCGGGGCAGCCTGCAAGCGCGCCGGCACGGCGCCGCCGCCGCCGCTGCCGCCGCCGCTTCTGGGAAGGCGGGAGCGCGGGGCACCGGGTCCGCCGGCGGGGGACGGCTGCCGTCTGTCTGCAGCTCGGGGCGTCGGGGAGCAGGGGCGCCGCCGCCTGCGTCCGCGACCGGCGGCGGCGGCGCGTCCGGCGCCGGCGCCGCCGCCGCCGCGCTCGCCCCGGTCGGCCGGCGCCCAGGCCGTGCGCGGGAATTCGCAGTCGGCGGCCCTGCCGGCTAGTTAGGCGGCCGATTCCCGTTGGCCGGCCGGGTTGGCTGATGCATGGCAAATCGATGGCCGTCAGCGCCCGGCCGGCCGGACGGACGGCCGCCGCCGCCGCCGCCGCCTGGCCCCCAGCCATAGCCGGCTGTCGGCCGACGCTGGGACGGCGTTGGGTTGGCCGTGGGGAGGGGGGCTCAGGACTAAAAGCGAGCGGCACGGGCGTCATACGTCTTTTTCTTGGTAACCTTTCGCTTAGAGCATAGAAAAAGTCCTGTACGTCTTTTTAAGGCCTGTTGAGTGTAGGCCTGGTAAGTGTAAATCGGGATGAAGGCTTTTGTATTGCCTGATTATATCATGCAAACTACGAACTAATAGCACCTTTCATAAAATTATGTCTTCTTATTCATAGTACTTTCTATTTGGTTGAGAGACAAGAAGTTGTCGAAATATACCCTGCGTTTGCTTAGCGCTCTTCAGGCGTTCTCGGGCATGATCTCCGCAGGTAAGACATATAGGCCAATGTGGGGCCGTCACAGTGGCTTGGAAGGAGGTCTGCAGAGCCAAATTTAGGCGGACACTTTAATCCAACGCAAGGGACCTAACGGGAACACAACCGACGTGATGGTCTCACACACAGTACGGCTAACACGGTGCCAGTGTCTTGCGGATTGCCAGCGGCTTGCCGTGCGTCCAAGTATGTGGACCCACTTCACACGCTGCATGATAATACTCCCAGCCTGCGGGCAGATTAGCCTTCAAATGGGCTACCAAACCGCATCACACGCGAACATGCTGACCACAGATGCCCTGGGATGGCGATATCTGTTCAAAGAAGACCGAAGGAGAGCGATATCTGTTCAAAGAAGACCTGGCGGTCAGTCAGTTCGATACTGTCCCGAGGCCTGGTGGCGTTATGCGCCTCCGGCGCTGGACCCAGCTCTCCCCACTGATCGTTGACGCTACGGCGGCACGCCGGGCGGCAAGAGTTCGTCATAAAGCACTCCACCCTCAGACTGTGTCGGCGAGGAGGGGGAGGGGGTGAGGAGTGATGGAGGGGGGGGGGCTGAGGTCGATGATGGCTGTGACGTCTGACTGACGCCAGATGACTGGTGGCGCTCCTTGGTGTCACGGGGGGAGGGGGGGGGGGCTGAGGTCGATGATGGCTGTGACGTCTGACTGACGCCAGATGACTGGTGGCGCTCCTTGGTGTCACGGGGGGGGGGAGGGGGGGGGGCTGAGGTCGATGATGGCGGTGACGTCTGACTGACGCCAGATGACTGGTGGCGCTCCTTGGTGTCACGGGGGGGGGGGGGGGGGGCTGAGGTCGATGATGGCGGTGACGTCTGACTGACGCCAGATGACTGGTGGAGCTCCTTGGTGTCACGGGGGGGGAGGGGGGGGGGGGGCTGAGGTCGATGATGGCGGTGACGTCTGACTGACGCCAGATGACTGGTGGCGCTCCTTGGTGTCACGGGGGGAGGGGGGGGGGGGCTGAGGTCGATGATGGCGGTGACGTCTGACTGACGCCAGATGACTGGTGGCGCTCCTTGGTGTCACGGGGCGAGACGAACGGTTCGCCATCTGCGGTCACCAGCGCGGCCGGCCGCTCGCAGACTGGCCGGAGCCTCTCCGGCGAGGAGGCTCACATGGCAGAGGTGAGCAAGCCTCGCCCAGAGGCTTGCAGTCCTCAGCTTGCAGCGTTTGCTTCCAATCGTGAAGAAGCCCGCACACTTGCTCGATAGTTAATAGGATTTGCCACAGAGGTCATCTTGCAGTAAGTACGTCGAACGTTGCGGCGTACTCCGCGAGATCATGTAATGCACGTATTTTTCCAGGGATATACAATGTAACCGATCTGCAACGTTCTGGTGCTAGCTTGAGTTCCATGAGGACGACTACACGGCATGCGTCCTACCAATGGCCAGTCCTACCACAACATTACGGCCGGATACAGGACCAAAACTGGCGATGCTTCAGCTGTTCTTGTATGCGTTGAAATGCGAAGTGGCGAAGAAAGGTTTTTCCCTTCGAAGAAAAACGAGATTGGAATATACTTCTTTGGGGTGCGTGGCACTTCAACAGCCCGAGGCGTGTTATTTAATGCTTGTAATTAAGCTGCAAGACTTGGGGTTTAATCTCGTGGTACGAGTGGAAACCGTACCATTTCCATATCAAGTGCGCCAGCGGCGCGCACTGACAAGGCTGACGCGTAGCATTGATCGGCACCCCTGTCCTCGACTTCCGTACATGGCACTTCTCCGACGGCCGAGCCCAGCGGTTGCGCAATCCCGTCACGTCCGCAGCCGGCGGACTTTGATGGACTAACGCCGTGACTTCCTCGCTCCGTCATCGCCCGAGTCCGCGGCGTCTGCGCTCGAGAGCGGCGCTCACTGTCGACTCGCCGTCGAGACGGAGGTGGCCGGCACTCGATGTAGGTGCCCGGCACTTACTGTAGGTGCCCGCTCGCAGGCGTGTCGCCTAGGTGGCCGCAGTCGACGACAGCTGTCGCGGTCGTCGACTGCGCGTACCTGCCACGCCCGCCCATATGCATGCTAATGAGTGATGCTCTTCATAAAAGTGGATAGCCGCCTGAGCTCGGGAATCGCACTCGGCACTGCCCATGCCCAGCTAATTACCTAATTTGGCAGAAATAGTCATTACGCTCCGGCACTAATGCGCCATTGCAGCTTCCTGGCTGAAGGCATTCAATACAGAATCTGCGAATGCGCGGGCTTGCAGCGGCGCGCGGTGGCGTGCGGCTGAGCTAGGTCTGCACTGCGTGCCGGCCGCCGAATCTCATTGACAACGATTACCTGCTGGACAGCTGGGTCCCGGCGGGCGTGTCCGCCGACAGGCGCGCGCCGCCCAGATACGTCCCACGCCAGGTTCGGTTCATACAGGGGCAGGCACACTCCCGTCCGCGACGCTGCAGGCTGGGTCCCGGCGGGCGTGTCCGCCGACGGACGCGCGCCGCCCAGATACGTCCCACGCCAGGTTCGGTTCATACAGCGGCAGGCACACTCCCGCCCGCGACGCTGCAGGCCGGGCCCGGAGTGGACGTGGAGTTCGTTAGGAGTGTGGGTAGCAACTCCTCCCGGTTCGGGCCGCAGGGAGAGCGGTCGTCCTTTGCGCGCCAGCAATGCTGGCTCGGGCTGCGCCAAGGCGGAAATGCTTGGATGTTGGGGCATGCGGTAAGATGCGAGGTTATGGACATTCGACGTGGCTGGTACCCTTGAGACGGATATGACGTACAGGGAGAGAATGCATCAAACACCATGCGTTTATACCGTCAACAAACGCAAGTCATGCCCTTACTGTTGGCGCGGTATGATATGAATATCTCAAGCGTGCTGTACAATAATATGCTCCTGTCATTATTTCGGTCACTTTGTCATGGTAACTGTGAAGCGCCTCTCATTCCTCACAAAGCACGGGAAGAGTTCCAAGTCAAAGATATTTAGGGTTTTATCGGATGTCAACAGTGTCGGATCTCGCCAAGATGGTCGAATGAACGAGTACGTTGTGCAGTCCCATCTCATGCAGTCCTACATGTAGTCGATGTAAAGTATAATTTACGAAATAAGGTAAACCTAAGCGAATGTAGGCGTTCAAATCCGCCCTGAAATCGTCCTCAAACCGGGAATCGGGCTAATTTGACTTGTCTGATATTAAAGTTGCCCGACCGGCAAGGATGGTGGAGGACGCTAAGCGAAGAATCGTCCAAGCACAGGCTGCGGAGGAAGTTGACCTGGCTTGAATTATGATGAATCGCGACCGGAGCGAGTTTTTCTAACGGTCTGGAAAAAGTAACTGCATAAATCGCCGAATTATCAAAATCACGCTGTCTGGATACGATACGCTGGAGCCTACCTAGTAAAATTGCTTGGGCTATCAGAATAGGTGATGAGGGACATGCATCAAGAATTTAAAGCAGTTTCGACTAATTTTACCCATGCGAGCAATGGATTACGTTTATCAAAACCTGTGGTAAATGCCTGCACATTTCTTATGATATTTATTTGCAGCGTTTGCTTCGAGGGTAGCGCAAAAACCGGCCTCGAAATAGACGAAAGCTGCATGTAGTTGGCAGTTGAATTGTCCGCAGTTTTGTTTCAATATTGCACGACTAATGAATTAAGAAGATCAACGCCATGTGTTCGTAGTATCGCATGCTCTTCTTCTCTTCTTGTCTGCCTGATGTGACTCAATTTAACGCCGCAGAGCGCATGTTATCCCATCCTGTCGCCATCACTCTTTTAACCACGATGACTGTTTCATATAGCAAGTGTGTATTACCACCAATGTCTGCACATACCAATGATAATTCGGAAAACTGCACACGTGAAGTGTCGGACTACTCGCATGGAGGAAACATCTTGGAAAAGACTGTCTGGCAGGTGTGGCCTACATTCTATGTCCGAGGGCAACGCGCACATCGGTTGCACTGCGACCACAAGAGCGCGTCGACTTCGATGCACGTCGCACATTTTTTCGTTCGTGAGCAATGACATTCCGATTCTTACACTATTTGTTTGCTCTGGTTACATTTCAGGGAGCCTGAGCACCAACCCGTTGGAGTGGACCGGCAACGTGTCGGTTCGAAAGAAGCGGAAACCCTACTCCAAGTTCCAGACGCTCGAGCTGGAGAAGGAGTTTCTCTTCAACGCGTACGTGTCAAAACAGAAACGCTGGGAGCTGGCCCGCAACCTCAACCTAACCGAGAGACAGGTGAAAATCTGGTTCCAAAATAGGCGAATGAAGAACAAAAAGGCCACGCAGCGGGCACAGAGCCAGGAGAGCTCTTCGAACGGCAGTATAAACGGCAAAGGAGGGTAACTATGTGTCGCAGACGGTGTCCGTGGTTCCGGCAGGCCAAAGATGTCAGTGCTAAGGGGACGGGCCCAAACGCGGAGCCCCTCCCCGCCCTCCCGCCGGGCGCCGAGTGACGTCATGCGCGCGTGCCTCTGCGTCCCAAGCACCTCCATCCGGCGGATTCTCGGCGGGCGGAATGCACGACGGGTGCCCCCGCAGACCGAACGCAATGCGACGCACGGGCTGGTGGCCCGGGCGGGGCCGACCAGCGGGGCTCGGCGGGCTCGTCAGGTCTCGTCAGGGCTCGTCAAGGCTCGTCAGGGCTCGCCAGGGCTCGGCGGGCCCGGCCTCCCGCGTCGGCGCCGACTGTACATAGTGCACAGATCCGTCGGCTGGCGCCGCTAGGTGTTGTGCAGTGTTTTTGTTATTGTGTTGGAGGATTTGATATTATAGTGTTGTCACTTTCATTCGTCGTCCGAGTTGATCATCCTGTCTGCATGAGTGGTGCGAGACCGGGAGTGTTTCCGTAGAACTGGTACAAATGGTGGACCGACGATGCGTTTCGCTTCGTTTGTTATCGCCAAGCTCGCTGAGCCGTCGCTGCGCTCGCCTTCACGTCATGCTTGCTCCAGCCTCGCGCTTCATGGGAGATTTGGGACGCAGCTACCCGAGTCAGCCAAGCAAATGCCCATATTGAGTCGTGTTTAAATACTGACTGTATTGATTTATGATCGAGCCTTTCCTCTGTTAACTTCTAAGGCTGGTTCAGCATTCTTCTAGTTCATTAATGTGTTCGCGAGCTCATCACGAGGTATTTTGTTATTTATCATTTATATGAGCGTCATGGAAGCTAATAAAGAACGGAGACACTGGAAGAACGTTCCATCTTCGGGTGATGACGTCACCGCCGTGCAGATGGCGCTGCATGCTGCGTGCTGTTCGGCCGCGAAAACACTAGCGCCAAGGGAAAAACGCCGCGAGGCTCACGCCATGGCGAACATGGAACCTGGGAACACGGTAATTCATGGAGTCATGTCACGCTCGCCAACTGGCAATTATTCGTAAGTTATTAGTCACTTAGGCGGAATATTTACACAGGAGTGTTTATGTTGTAACGGCGTAATGGCGCTTGATAGAAGCCATTGATTATGCAGGGCGCTTTCTGGTGCAGGCGAGCGGGCTCGGCGTTCGCAGGTATATTAAAAACTCCGCCGACACCGGGGGACCCTGTGGGGCGGGCGTCCAGCAGGCAGCGCCGCAGTGCAACAGCGAGGGACAGCCTCCACTGACTGCCCGCCTCACCAGACAGGTACGGCTGACATTGTGAACGACTGACCGAGTCAGTTGCTTGCAGTGGAACACGACTGTGCTCTACAGCCTTCCAGAGACCTTTAAGAGTTTAATTTTCCACCCGTCCGCTTAGTGTTTGCAGTCGTCCTACTTACCTGTTACTCATCTGTTTTTAAAGTTGCTAGTTTGTTTGCGTAGACTGCGAAAGAGATCAACACAGCTTTGTGAGTCATTCACTATATTTGTACTGGTGATTGCTAAAGCCAGGTGAATGCAGCTATTTAAGACAGCCAAACAGAAACAGTACTGCTTATCATAAAACATCGAAACAGCTACGCTGTATTTCGTGAAGTCCCTGCCAACGCCCGTCAATGCCCCCTTACCTATAATTTCCATAGATATCCGGATTCACTCCATCAATTTTCCCGCAGTACCCAATGGTGTCCTACGTTAAGTGCTGTCGACTGTCTTGTGCGTGTTATTGGCATATGAAATCGGGTTATTAGGCCAACAAACATAATTACTGAACCAGAATGACAATCGATTTTCTTTAACTCCAATCGCGCTTTAAGAAGTAAAGTCTCCAGCGGGTAATCATAACCTGCTTCCATGCTTGCAATCGCATCAAATATGCCGATTTTGCCCACGAAGGCCCAAATTAATTATTTCTGCGTTCTTACCGCTAAGGTGATTTGATTGGATAAAATTCAAAATGCGAGCAAATAGCAAACAATAATGTACAGTACAGTCCAGAGCCTGCACATCGAACAATTCCAATTGGAAATTTGACAGCATTTGAAAGCATGGTACGCAGCATTTCAAGGACCCAAACCATTTTCATTAACCTTTTATTTCAGATTTCTGCACTTTGCTAGTCGATTGATTAAAAAATAGACATGCACGGTTTGTGGGCATGGATTTTCGTGCTGGTTACAAGAGCAAACCTAAAACATAAAGTTGTTTTTCGAGTAAGAAATAAAGAACCATGGTAAACATCCTTGCTTTCTTAAACTGCCAAAGGGTGCCTCTTTCTTTTGCGTATTCCTAATAGTGATGTAATTCGTGTAAAACTTCAGTAGAAACATAAATACATTCTGTTTTTCCATAGCGGCAGTGCTGGTGACCATTAGGATACTGGCACCAGTCTCAACGTTGGTAACCTATGTGTTTCCAACTGCCTTGTTAGCTCATTAACTAGTGATCTTTCCAGTCTTTCCTTCCTGTAGAAATTGGCCTACAAAACCCACAATTGCACCAAAGAGCAACACTGATAAGATTCGATGTAGTGCTAGACAAATTTAACTGTCGTCATCGCATTTTTGTTGTCTTGCTTTTAAAAATTGTCACGGAGCCAACAACAGTGTATTTCTCTCTCTCTCTCTCTCTCTCTCTCTCTCTCTCTCTCTCTC